AAAAAAAAAAAAAAAGCGTTCACCTTCATTAGCCCTACTCCTTTGAGCCACAGGCACCACCCGAGGCCAAGAATTTGAGGTTGCTGTGAGCTACAATGCCATAGCACTCTACAGAGGACGACAGAGTGAGACTCAGTCTCAAAAAAAAAATGACTATCCCATATCATTTAGTGGTGAAGAAAAATAAAAAAGGAAGATGAATAGGCTCGGCGCCTATGGCTCAAGTGGCTAAGGCGCCAGCCACATACACCTAAGGTGGTAGGTTCAAATCCAGCCCGGGCCCACCAAAACAACAATGATGGCTGCAACCAAAAAATAGCTGGGCATTGTGGCGGGCTCCTGTGCTCCCAGCTTCTTGGGAGGCTGAGGCAGGAGACTTGCTTGAGCCCAGGAGTTGGAGGTTACTGTGACCTGTGATGTCACAGCACTCTACCCAGGGGGATAGCTTGAGGCTCTGCCTCAAAAGATAAATAAACAAACAAAAAAGAAGATGAATAGATAAGGCCGTTTGTGGTGGCTAATGCTTGCAATCCCATCACTTTGGGAGGCCAAGGTGAGACAATCATTTGAGGTCAGGAGTTTGAAGCCAACCTGGGCAACATAAGGAGAGCCCCATCTCTATAAAGAACTTAAAAAATTAGCTGGGGTGGTAGCATGTGCCAATAGTCCTAGCTGTTCAGGAGGCTAAGGCAGAAGGATCATCCAAGCCCACAAGTGTGACGCTTTGATGAGCTATGATCATACCATTGTACTCTAGTAGCCTGGGAATCAGAGTGAGACCCTGGCTCTAAAAATAAAAAAAAGTAAGAAAAAGAAAATGAATAGAGGCTTAGCGCCCATAGCACCGTGGTTATGGTGCCAGCCATATACATCAAAGGTGGCGGGTTTGAACCTGACCCAGGCCAGCTAACAAACAATGACAATTGCAACAAAAAATAGCTGGACGTTGTGGTGGGCACCTGTCCCAGCTACTTGAGAGACTGAGGCAAGAGAATCACTTGAGCCCAAGAGTTTGAGGTTGTTGTGAGCTGTGGTGCCACGACACTCTACCGAGGGCAACATAATGAGACTGTCTCAAAAAAAAAGAAAAGAAAAGAAAAGAAAAGGAAGTGAATAGATAACTATAGACCTGGACAAAAAAAAAAAAAATCTTCATAGGCTGGGCACAGTGGCTCATGCCTATAATCCTAGCACTCTGGGAGGCTAAGGTGGGTGGATTGCCTGAGCTCACAGGTTCAAGACCAGCCTGAGCCAGAGCAAGACCTCATCTCTAAAAATAGCCAGGCATTGTGGTGGGCAGCTATAGTTGCAGCTACTTGGGAGGCTGAGGCAGTAGGATAGCTTGAGCCCAAGAGATTAAAGTTGCTGTGAGCTAAAGATGCCAAGGCACTCTACTGAGGGTGCCAAGTGAAACTCTGTCTCAAAAAAAAAAAGTCTTCATGGCTGCAAAGAAGTTATATCCATGATATGTAAAGAGTTTTTACAAATCAATAATAAAAGCATAGATGACCCAATTACAAAATGGCCAAAAGACTTCAATAGACACTTAAAGAAAGATATACAAATGACCAATAGACACATTAAAAAGTGTTTACCAGCTCAGCACCTGTGGCTCAAGTGGCTAAGGTGCCAACCACATACACCTAAGGTGTATGAATCCAGCCTGGGCCTGCCAAACAACAATGATAGCTGCAATCAAAAAAATAGCCAGGCATTGTGGCAGGCGCCTGTGGTTCCCAGCTACTTGGGAGGCTGAGGCAGGAGACTCGCTTGAGCCCAGGAGTTGGAGATTGCTGTGAGCGGTGATGCCACGGGGCACTCTACCCAGGGTAACAGCTTCAAGCTCTGTCTCAAAAAAAAAAAAAAAGTGTTCACCTTCATTAGTTAGCAGGGAAATGGGACTTAAAACCACAGAGAAATTAACTTCTTACTCATTAAAATGATTAAAATCAAAGATGAACATTTCAGTGATCTATTGTTGCATAACACATCACTCAAAACTTAGTGACTTAAACAACTGTGAACGTTTTACTATCTCTCAGTCTTTGGAGTCAGGAATTCAGGACAGGCTTGTCTGCTTGGGTCTTGCCTGGGATCTCCCTCCTGCTATTGCAGTCAAGATTATGGCTGGATGTGGAAAAGTGGGGGCTGGCGTAGCTGGGATCTCTCTTTCTCTACCCCTCTTCTCAAGATGTTAGGGTCTCTCCAAGTGGTTTTTTGGGCTTCCTCACAGTATGACAGCCTCAGGGTCTTCAGACTTCTTACCAGGAAGCTCAGGACTCCTTGGAGCAAGCAAGCCATCAGCCAACAAGATGGAGGATGCTGCATTACCTTTGTGACCCCACCTATGGACGCCACACGGTGGCTCTTCCACTACATACTATTGCTTATAAGTGAGTCAGCAAACCCATCCAGGAGAATAAGATTAGATTCTGTACCCTGCTGTAGAAGTGGCAAGATTGTAGAAGAGTATATGGGATGAGATATATTATTGCAGACATCTGGATGATAAAATCAATGATGGATAAACTTGGAAAGAAAAGCAAGAGGCAGATCATATAAGGCCTTATAAGCCACAGTAAAGACTTTATTATTTATTTATTTATTTATTTTATTATTATTTTTTTAGAGACAGAGTCTCACTTTATCGCCCTTGATAGAGTGCTGTGGCATTACACTATTCACAGCAACCTCTAACTCCTGGGCTTAGGCGATTCTCTTGCCCCAGCCTCCGGAGTAGCTGGGACTCCAGGCACCCGCCACAACGCCCCGCTATTTTTTTGTTGCAGTTTGGCTGGGGACAGGTTTGAACCCGCCACCCTCTGTATATGGGGTTAATGTTCTACCCACTGAGCCACAGGTGCAGTCCTTATTTATTTATTTTTTGCAGGGTTTTTTGGCCAGGGCCGGGTTTTTTGAATCCACCACCTCCAGTATATGGGGCTGGCACCCTACTCCTTTGAGTCATGGGCGCTGCCCCCTTATTTATTTATTTTTGAGACAGTCTTACTATGTCACCCTTGGTAGAGTGCTGTTGCATCACAACGCACGGCAACCTCCAACTCTTGGGCTTAAACGATTCTCTTGCCTCAACCTCCCAAGTAGCTGGGACTACAGGCACCCACCACAACACCTGGCTGTTTTTTGGTTGTAGTTGTCATTATTGTTTGGCAGGCCTAGGCTGAGTTCAAACCCACCATCTTCAGTGTACATGGCTGGCGCCCTAGCTGCTGAGCTACAGGCACCAAGCCAGTAAAAAGTTTAGTCTCCTTACACGTTGTGCTGAGGAACCACTGGAGGGTTTTTGGCTTTTTTTTTCTTTGTATCACTGGAGGTTTATGCAAGAGAGTGAGTTATCCAATTGTCTTAAGTTTATTCTAGCAGCTGCATGGATAGAGAATTTGTAAGTCTGGGTGATTTAGGCCTGTAATCCTAGCACTCTGGGAGGCTGAGGTGGGTAGATTGCTTGAGCTCAGGAGTTTGAGAACAGCTTGAGCAAAGAGGGAAACCCTGTCTCTACTAAAAATAGAAAAAAAGTAGCCAGGCACCTGTAGACTCAGCTACTTGGGAGGCTCAGGCAAAAGGATTGCTTAAGCCCAGAAGACAGGTTTGTTGTGAGCTATGATGACTCCACTGCAGCACTCTTACCCAGGGCAGGGTGACAGAGTGAGACTCTGTCTGGGGTGGCAGGGAGAATTGGTGGGAAGACTGCTGGGATCAGTGACTCATGCCTGTAATCCTAGCACTCCTGGAGGCTGAGGCTGGCAGATTGCTTGAGGTCAGGAGATCAAGACCACCTTTACCAAGAGCAAGACCCAGTCTCTACTAAAAATAGAAAAAGTAGCTGGGTGTGGTGGTAGGCGCCTCTAGTTGCAGTGACTCCAGAGGCTGAGGCAGGAGCCCGCTTGAATCCAGCAGTTTGAGGTTGCTGTGAGCTATGATGATGTCCATCACTCTACCCAGGGTGACAGAGTGAGACTGTCTCACACACACAAAAAAAGCCACAAAAAAAATTAGGTAAGAATACTTATCATTTACAAAAAGCACATGAGGGAAGAAGAACTTAAACCTCTCTACCCATTCTTGTCCTTTGCACAGCTGACTGCCCCAAGGGGTCAGCCAGGCGGGGCGCGCATGCGCACACCTTCATCGCTGACGCCGCTCGGCGGAAGCTTCCAGGTTGGCGCGCTCGCTCGGCGGGAGGCGGTTGCTATGGAGACGCGTGGCCCTGCCCGGGCCCTTTGCGCTCAGAACCGCTGGCTGGGAGGCTGCCTGTCTTGGGCTGCCCCAGACGGAGGTGGCGGTCCCCCAGGCGGATGGACTGCCGCGCTGGGGCTGGGGCGTCGGGGTACGGCGAGGGGGGCGAGGACGACGGGGATGAGGACGAGGAGCGGGAGGGCGGCGCCGCGGGGCTGGGGTCCAAACTGCCCCCTATTGGGGGCAGTGCCTCAGAGTTGACCAAGCGGAAAGTGAAGAAGAAAAAGAAGAAAAAGACCAAAGGGTCGTGCAAGGGGGACGGTAAGAGGAGCAACTATCTATCTGCTTCAGCTCCCGTCCCTGAGATTCTACTCCGAGCACAGCCACCCCCATGCCTCCCCGAGACCCGGGGCTACCCAGAGAGCCCTTCAGACCAGAAACAAGTCCACCAGTCCCAGATAGAGGCCCTCGCGCTCCCCTCACAGTGTGTCGCAGCACAGTGATGTCCCAGCCCTGCCCGTAAAGACAGAGACCCCTTGATCACCACGGAAGTCCCACCAACTTTGCAGTCCCTTAGGGCCACACAGAAACCCCCACAGAGACCCACTATTCCCCCAGCCTCCCAGCACCACACACAGACTGTTAGCTTTACATAGACACCCTCTCGACTTCCTAATCCCTCAGCCCAAACTTGTCATCCTGAACGTCCACACCTTCCCCAGGTCCCGAGCCCTCCTACAGAGGCCAACTCACACAGACTTTCCCCAACCCACAGACACTGCAGGACAGAGCCTCACATATCAGAAAGGCAGAGGTCCTCCCTGCCCCTGTACATTAAGGAGCACCTGCCACTGGATGTGATGGAGACACCCATACCCAATCAATGCAGAGAAAGTTCCTTCTCTTTATTTATTTATTTATTTATTTTTGTTGTTGTTGCTGGAGACAGTCTCACTCTGTCGCCCTGGGTGGAGTGCTGTGGCATCATCATAGCTCACAGCAACCTCAGTCTTCTGGGCTCAAACGAGCCTCTCGCCTCAGCCTCCCAAATAGCTGGGACAATAGGCAACCACCACATACCTGGCTACTTTTTTTCTATTTTTAGTAGAGACAGGGTCTCCCTCTTGCTCAAGCTGTTCTCAAACTCCTGAGCTCAATCAATCCACCCTGCTTGGGCTCCCAGAGTGCTAGGATTACAGGTGTGAGCCTCTGTGCTCTGCCCTAAAGTGTCTTTTTCAAAGGGACTCCACCCCCTGTGGGGCAGCCTTCCACTGCACAAACACCATCACACCATCTCTGCAACATTTGCCTGTAATCCCTGACACCCTCCCCAACACCCCCTCATAGCAACCTAACCCCATCAAATGAAAATGAAACTGAAGCACAGATAACCTGTCCCGCTCACACTTCAGTCTACACACACACACACATTATGTGAGTGCATAAATATCCCCCCAACTGTTCCTGTACACAGATATGCATGTGGGTGCTCCAGGCTCTCTCAAGGACACCTTCACATACATACAGACACAATCACCTGCCACAAGCCCAGAGTCTCTGTATCTCACCATGCTCTTCTCATAGAACCCCCAGACTTCTCTACAAAGGCACTAAGCACTTTTGAGGGGAGAGAATTCAGCAGTGACATAGACTGCACCTGCCCTTGAGTGCTGTGAGCCCATTGTCACCTCTGTGGTACATCTCTGACTTTGCCTATCAGAGAGGTGGCCCTGACCTCCAATAAGACTGGGCGGGAGCAGCACCTGTTGTTCAGTGGGTACGCTGGCCACGTACACCAAGGCTGGCCAGTTTGAACCCGGCCCAGGCCAGCTAAAACAACAATGATAACTACAACAACCAAAAAATAGCTGGGCATTGTGGCAGGCACCTATAGTTCCAGCTACTTGGGAGGCTGAAGCAAGAGAATCACTTAAGCCCAAGAGTTGGGAGGTGGCTGTGAGCTGTGACGCTACGGCACTCTACCCAGGGTGACAGCTTGAGACTCTGTCTCAAAAAAACCAAAAAAACGACTGGGCCCGGGCTTGAGTTTCTGGGCCTTGGTTCTTTGTGGCAGAACTGGCACTACTGGCAAGCTGGAGACAGAAGCGTCAGCCCTCTGCATCTCAGCCTTGTAGTGTGGGGAAGACCACAATTACCACAATTACTTCTTCAGTTGGAATCATAATAAAAAGGCAAGAAAATATTGGAGGTTAGGTCAAAGAGTCCTGTATGTGTCTGCAAAATAAAATTAGGAAGTTTATTGTATTTTTGGCATAGTTTCTGACCATAAAAATTACAGTGGCATATACTTAATACTGTCAGCAGGGGACACCAAATAGTTTTCGGGTGGGGAATAGAAAGGTAAGAAAATGCTGAGAGAATTTTGGGGGGGGGGGGGGGTTTTTTTTTCTTATTTTCTTGTGGAAAGAGGTATTTCTCTCTCCCCTCAAAAGGATGAGTTGAGGAAGGAACCACAATTTATAGCATTTTTATGTGCATGTTACATAATTCTGAAATGCTACTGATGTAAAAAAAAAAAAAATCAGTACAAGCCACAGCTGAACTATTTCCTGGTTTGGCATAATGTTGCCTTCGTCAGTCAAACTTAGGGAGCTTTTCTGTTGTTCTCCACTTCTTCCATCATAAAGTGTCTAGACGAGTGGTGGAGTCATAGCCTCCCAGAACTGGAAAGTACTTTGGAGAGCATGCGGCGAGGTTAAGTTGGGGGCAGCATGGCATAGTGGAAAGAACAGGCCACTGGGAGCCAGGCCTCCGTTCAAATCCTGGCTCTGCCACTCACTGCTTGGCAGTTACTCCAGCTCTTGGGGACTCAGTTTCCTCACCTGGAAAACAGAGCTGATAGCCTTTATGCAGAGGACCTGGCTCATGCTGTGTGCTCAATATGTTCCTTCTTGGGTGGTGCCTGTGGCTCAATGAGTAGGGCGCTGGCCCCATATACTGAGGGTGGCAGGTTTGAACACGGCCCTGGCCAAACTGCAACAAAAAGATAGCCGAGCATTGTGGTGGGTGCCTGTAGACCCAGCTACTTGGGAGGTGGAGGCAAGAGAAGCTCCTAAGCCCAAGAGCTGGAGGATGCTGTGAGCTGTGATGCCACAGCTCTCTACTGAGGATGACAAAGTGAGACTGTGTCTCTAAAAAAAAAAAGGTTCTTCCTGCCCTCAAATGCCTTAACCAGAGCATACGGGCAGTGGGTGTGCACGAGGCTGGTGGGCTCAGGAGGGGCCTCTAGTCCCTTACATTTTTGGCCATTTTGGCACTATTCCAGACAGGCTGAGGGCGGACATTCCCACAAACACTAACCTACTCATTTACTCAGCAGATAAACATCAGAGTCGGAGCCTGAAAAGCCAGCAGCTTTCTTCATCCTCTCATGACATCTTAAATCCCAGCAAAGACCACGGCCCAAGGCCAGAGCGCAGACAGGACAAACAGGAAAGCAAGCACATCCCTCCTTACTCTTCCTCTGTCAGTCTCCCCCACTTTGCCGAAGTCGCAGAGAATCTTTCGAACCAGAGCAACGAAAGTCTGCGCTGGGATGGAATTCTCTCTGACCCAGAGGCAGAAAAAGAGAGGATCCGCATATATAAACTGAATCGGAGAAAGCGGTACCGGGTTTTGGCCCTCAAAGGCTTCCACTCTGATCCCTGTGCCGAGGAGACCCCTGAAAACTTGCCCTACCTCTCAGACAAAGACTGCGGCTCCACCGGCAGGCAACCGGCAGTGAAAGGTGACCGCCCCAATCACTGCTTTGAAGGAAACTTCATCCCGAAGCCCCTGCACTCTGATTTAGTTCCTCTTCTGCCAGAGTAAATATCCACTCAAGGGCTGACAAACTTATAATTTCTCCTTACCACAAGTTTATGGGTTAAAAAAGAATAATAATAAAAGGAAATCAGACCTATCGCTGAAGGAAGCAGATGTTTGGTATATGGATGGGATAAGGCCTATCTTCACCAAGACGCCGCTAATTGCCCAGGAAGGCCACAGTTCCTTATGAACATAAGCAATTTAGGAAGCAAAGTTCTTTTAAGAATTTCCTTTTTCGGGCAGTGCCTGTAGCTTAGTGAG